ATTTTTTTTAAGTACGTGCTATCAAATATTTTATTTATAGGCATGTGGGTGGAAAAAATTGAGTTAAAAAAGAAGGAGGAAGGTCATTTCTCAATGTCTTCAGCTCATCTGGCTTTTTATTATTTAGAGCTTCTTTACCAATACAAAGGTAGCTCTGCTCTCATCACCAGTATCATGTCTGTAAACTGAGGAAATGGTGGTTCAGTTGACATGGGAAAAGTTCAAAAGAAAAGGACGGTAAAAATAATTTTTAAAAAAGTTATAAAGAGCAATATATACTCATAGGAAGTCCTCGTTATTTTAATATAATTGTGAATTGAAAAAGGCTGATCAATGTGACTCTACTACAAGTGGACCAGCATTTTATAATAGAGGGAAAAGATTAACTGAGAATATACCATGGACTGCCAAGGGAATGAACAAGTCTGTCCTGGAAGAAATGTATCCAGAATGCTCCTTAGAAGCAAGGACGGTGAGACTATGTCTCACATACTTCGGACATGTTATGAGGAGGGATCAGTCCCTGAAGAAGGACATCATGCTTGGTAAAGTAGAGGGTCACTGAAAAAGAGGAAGACCCTCAGTGAGATGGATTGACACGTGGATGCAACAATGAGCTCAAGCATAACAACGATTGTGAGGATAACACAGGACCGGGCAGTGCTTTGTTCTGTCGTGCATAGGGTCACTACGAGTTGGAACCAACTCGATGGCACCTAACAACGACAACAACAACAATCTGGAAAAAACAACTTAACATAATAAAAACAAAGTTATTTCATCTTATTTTTTTTAAAAAATTATATTAACATTGTAATTTTGCATGAATTCTTCGAATGAACATGTCTTGGTTAATAGTTTATTAATAGCCTAGAGATAGCTGATGTTTTTTGTTGACAGACGTGTTTGGTAAACGACATGCCTTCTTTTACTTTTATAAGAAGTTTCATTTTGCAAAAATATTCTACATCTTCATCAATTTTCCCAAGGGTTGCTCTTGATTCTTAGATATTCAAATAAATTACTTTTGAAATTTATTTGCATCGTTTTAAAAAATGTGCTTGTGGGATGTTTATGATATCCAACAGTCATAGAGAAACTGACCCATAAATATGTAACACAGAGGAGGCATAATTGCTAATGTTGAGTAGAAGGGATATTTGAATGGAGACTACTTTTATAAGTAAACAACTTCTTTAGTGAATAATCTATTTGGTAGACTTTCACTTTCCTATTCAGCTTCGTCACTATGGGGATCTGGATAATGATATTCAGATGACTAGGATTTCCTCCCCCATGAGAATTTCCTCCCCCATTACTACATATGACACTAATCATGCATGTATTTCTAGATAGATGCATGTCTACTAGTCAGTGTAACAGATCGGATGCAGGAGTTCTTCACCTGGGCTCCAAGGAGACAATTCAGGAGGTCCCTGAAACTTATGGATGTAGGAAAATGTTTGTCCATACACATGATTCTGTATTTTTCTGAGAAGAGAGAGTCTATAACTTTCATTACATTCTTAAGGGATCCATCCCCTTAAAGAGTTAAGAACCACTGTCTAATGAGTTGTTAAATCTATTTCAGTTGACTGTGTCACAGCACTACTCTTTACTTTGTCTGTAAAAATCCATTACCCATTTTACAATACCCCAAGAGCTATCATAATCTAAAAGTAGTAGCAAATATTAGTACTCCCTCCAGATCCCTTTGTCTAGGCTCCACCATCCTTATGCTATGCGTCTAGCCCTTATGCTAGTCAAGATGATGAGGCATAGGTGTCAGTGCTGGGTAGTGGTACTTTAACAGAATGAAAAATGATAAACTAGTAAGGACATCACCATTAAGGCAAGCCTTCTCAGAATATAAGATACAAGAATAACGGTGAAAACAGAAATCAGCTTCTAT